AACAAGAAGCCGGAGTGGATATGCGATGGTGATTGGATGTTGTTGAAAGAGTATTGGGGGTTTGATTCATTCAAGAAGAAGAGTACTGCCGGGAAGAAGAACCACAACTCCCAGAAGGCGAAGGAGTCACAGTATCGCGGTGGGCGGATTCCAGTCAGTAGGCATGTTGAAAAAATGGTAAGTTCTGTTCACAATGTAATTGATATTCAATACAGTTTTGACTTATTATTAGCATTTAATACCGTGTAATATAATTGATATTTATTGTTTATGTGTTCATAGACCAAAGAATTGAATCGGGCTCCTCTGAAGATTGAAGTGTTCAAGAAGGTGTATGTTCCAAAGCAAGGTGATCCTCCACATCGTGTTGTTGAGACTCAGGTATGCTATATGATATACAGTTCCATATTTAAATTTCTTATTATTCTGTTTATATTATGAATTTATATATATTCTGAGCTTCTGTGTATATTCTGTTTATATTTTGAATGGCTTTTTTAACTTTCTGTGTATACCATTTATGGTATTAGATTAGTAATTATTATGTTATAAATAGGGTAAAGGGAATAAGGCCCAAAAAGGCCTTGGCCCAACTTCCAAGGTTTACCTAAATCGGTAACCTGTACAGCGCCTATAAATATGCGCCTTGCATGTGTACAGATACCGAGATCGATTAATACACTCTAGCCTTACGCTGCCAAAATCCTTCTCGATATAATAGAAAGACGATTTCCAAGTTCTCGATATTGCATAAATCATTCTGGGTAATCGTTCTTCTCTGTTTATCGATGATATCCATCTAGCTGATCGTTAGTCTGCATTTACTGGGACCAACATAGAGGACGGCGGTACGGGACGGGGTCTGAAGCGGAGTCTCTTTCGGGCAGCTTTGAATGCTCAAGCCGACACTCGGGGCCCACCCAAGAGGAGATTGATGCCCGCATCCAAGCGCAAGTGGAAGTCCGGTTCCGGCGGTTCGCGCAGCAGGAGCAACTCTGGCGAGCGCAGATGGAGAATATGTTTAGCGCGTTTATGTCGATCATGCGACAAGTCCAGAGCTCTAACCCGTCTGTCCCGATGCCTGATCTCTCGGCTTTGCGTACCCCGACCCCTGTTGCTATGAACTGCCTCATTGAAAATGAAACTGTTAGGATGAATGATCTTTTCCCCGACATTAACACCAATGGCGTTGTCACGTTGTGGGCCTGGTGTAATGTTGATGATGAATGTGTAACATGGACATCTTTTACTTTTCTTGTTTATGGACATCTTCTATCTTTCTTTCTGGACACCTGAGTAGGTTATTTGAAGTTGGCCTGTTTAATGTTGTTTTTATTTATGCTTTTTTTTTTAATGATATGTGGATGAATGGTTGCCTGTTTTTTATTTACTGTTACACTTGAATGTTAATTGCAATTCAACATTGTATTGTTTGATATCTATGTGTCGTATGAAATCAAAAAAAATATATACCGTATATATGTACGTATACCGTACATATATACGACATACGTTTTTTTATATTTTAAATACTTGGCACGGAAAAGTCCGTTCCAAAGTTTGATACGTTTAAAACGGATATATGACTTGGAATCCGAACCGAATTCCGAGCCAAATCAATTCCGTGACAATGACTTTGGTTTTTTTGTGTAAATTTTGGGCACGACAATACACAACCTAAAACCGTCCCAAAGGTTGAGACAGAAATCAATATCCGAGCCAACACGTTTGGCAGGAGCCAGGTGACACGGAAATGAGAACCGTGCAAAATCCGAGCCAAGACCGTTCGTCTGGGAATTTTTTTAAAGGAATCTCTTCCCAAATGCGTGCTTATACCGAGTTTTTTTTGGTAGTGTAAGGTACAATGAACAAAAAAACTAAAATAAACAATTGCTCATTTACAATATACAGTTTACCAAATATCAGTGACAAAACAACTAAATGACTAATTCAATTAAAATTATAAAATACTTCGTATTTGGTATGAGTGTAAAACAGACAAAGTAAATGACTAGTAAAAACTAAAAAGTGTATATAATGATTAATGACTAATGAGTCAACTTAATAAATTATTCTTAGCAATAGCATTGAGAAGTGTTATGGAGTGTGTAGAACTCATGAACCCAAGTTCCAAAATCTAAAGTTCTCAAATCACGTCCAATTGCAGAAGGAAGTGAAGAAGATATTATGCATAATAAGTAACACAAATACTTGGGACTTGAAGGTTGGAACTTGGATTTCTGGGCCGAAGTGACGGAACTCCGGGAGAAGAATAAGACGCAAGTTGAATTGCCGCAACTCCGGGAGAAGAATAGGGCGGCAGGGCCACGGAGGAAGAAATAAATCAGAGAAACGGCTAGCTCTCTACCCATTAGCGTTGGATACAAAGTTAATTTTAATACTAGTACTGGTAGTACTAGTCCTGTTAATTTTAAACAGAGGCCCCCAAATTGTGAGGCCCTAGGAAAGTGCTTACTCAGGCCTTGATTATGATCGGCTTTGAAAGTTTATATCGCTAGGTTTGCAGGGATGATTGAAAGGAAGTATACCGATCTATAGGATTACTGATAGCTGTGTCAAGCCCGTCTCGTGATTAGTGGTTCGTGTTGATCTTTTAGGGGTGATCCTTTCTATGGCTAATCGTAGAGTTTACCATCGTAGTTGATTGATGTTAGTTGATTTCACGTATGGGTTTTCTATGATTAATGTAAGGATCCTATACCAATGTTATAAATATAAGCGATTTTCTTTCAAAAAAATAAAACAAGTCAATATCAATTAGGATGTTTTTACTTGAACTGTAATCTGTTCCAGACCAGACCAGACTTGGATTATTATAAAAATACAAAGAAATCAGACCAGATCAGATCAGACCAGACCAGCAAATTACAGTCCAAGTAAAAACGTTTGGTAACACTTTGGTATGTTTGACCAATTTTAGCTATTTCATAGTCAAAGCCGCTAATAATTATGTTTGATAAATGGCTTCTTTGATTGCCATATTGAGTTTAAAACGTTGAAAAAAATAGCTTGAAGAAGGGGGGGGGGGGGGGAGGGACTTCTTGACAATGGGTTGTTTCAATGAATTTTCATAGGGGTATTTGCTACTTTCTCTCTTTTTTCTTTCATTCTATTTGGTCAGCCTTTTCTAAACTAGTAGAACGATACAAAAGTTTTAAAATATGCCTCTCTAGGATTTAGCCGCTAGAGACGTTTTTTCCGTTTTCGTCTTCAAATGAAGAACGGCGAATAGGTTGATTCCGCAGGCCTTTGCGGTCAAGCGGCGTAGCTTCATAGCTGTTTCAGTCATTCCGTCGAGTTCCAGTAGGTGATAAGGAAGGCGAGCTGCTCGATGGCAGTTATTCACTTCGGCCGAAACAAGTAGAGGGCAAGAAACGCTCTGAGGGGCTGTTTTCGATGGATAATCGTAAATAATTATAAGAAGATGGCTATTGGCCAGGAAGACAACAAACTCAATTTTGATGATTAAGAAACCGAGGAAGTAGATGCGGCCGACGAAAGAATGGAGTTTCCGGTGGTCGGAGTCGTGCTTACGGACCGGAAAATCAAATTTCAAGTATTCAAAGACCTTTTGGCTTCAATCTGGTGCCCGGGAAAAGGAGTTTCCATCAAAGAAATTGGAGATAAAAGATACCTTTTTACTTTATATCATATTGTGGATATGAATCGTGTGCTTGAGGATGGTCCTTGGTTGTTTGAGAGAAATTTACTACTCTTAAAAGCAGTTCAGCCAAATGATATACCTCATAATATGATTTTGTGTGATGCTGACTTCTGGGTACAGGTCCACAATGTACCATTTAAATTCATGAATCTGGGTTCCACTAGGAGAATTGAAAACTATATAGGAACATTTATAAGTTTTGATAAGAACCAGTTTGAGGGAAAATGGAAATCTTACATGTGAATAAAGGTGTGCATAAATGTGAGAAAACCTCTGAAGAAGGGAACTAGTTTAGAAAAAGAGGGAATTGGACATTGGGTAGATTTCAAATAAGAAAAACTACGTAATTTCTGCTTCATGTGTGAGGTGATTGGACATTCTGACAAATTTTGCCCCTTGAAGTTTGAGGAAGGTATTGTGTTGGAGAAAACTTTTGGGGTTGAGCTTCGGGCTGGTGGAGGGGAGAAAAGCAGTCCTACAGGGACTAATAAGTGGTTAGTTGATAATTCTTCAAACTCAGGGAGTGCCAGGCTACAACGGAAGATAGATCTAGAGAGTGAAGACATAGGGGCACAGGATCGAAGTGAGTCCTCAGCAGAAATAGGTAACAGTGTGCCTGGCTACAACGGAATTATTTTTTAACAAAATGAAGAAAAAAATATATGAAAATAGCAAAAACGGTATTCTACAGCAACTTCAGCCAATTCAGTCAGAAAAGTAACCTCAAACTTATTTAATATGATTATAGCACAATTCAACGCACAGAATCTAACCTCAAACTTACATATTCTGTGAAAAAGTTCATTGATAAGACTGATAACCCGATGGCCACTAAATGGCCTCCTAATTATCTAATAGAATGTTTTCCAACACAACATAATAAAACATTAAATAGAGTTCAGATTAGGAGGTCGTTTGGCAACACTGTTATCAGGCTTATCAACCAACCTTTTCACCAAACATGTAATTTTTGTTTTCACGCGTTGAATTGTGTAATAAGCAGAAAAAGTAAGGTTTGACTTACTTTTCTGGCTGTATTGGTTGAAGTTACGGTAGATGACCATTTTAGCTATTTTTACATATAATTTTTTCTACATTTTATTAATAAAATATAGGGAAAAGTACGGAAAAGGTACTTGTGGTTGAGTCCATTTTCAGATAGGGTCATGTGTTTCCTTCTTTATCAAAGTAGTTCATGTGTTTAAATTCTGTTATTACAAGATGGTCACACCGTTAAAAACGGCTGAAAAAGACGGTTAAAAGTAACTACAATTTTCAAAAATGCCCGAAAAATTAAAAGAAAAATACTGGAATGGTTTTTATGGCAAGCTTAACTTATTTGAAATTAGGCCCGGAATACATATTATTTCTGGATCCACCACCCACGACAAACTAGTACAAACACATTTGTTACGGTATGCATAAGGTTGGAGACGGGGTCTTAATTCCAAATAGCTAAGCATAAATCAATATCAGCATACATGATCCATCGCTGTATGGAGATGGTGAATTACTCCTCCGATCCCCATTTTGTGGGACGAAGAGAAACCAGTAGGCGGGGTAGATGGGTGAAGTTGGCTGAATATTGAATGAGCATTTAGAGAGGTGCTGGTTACAAGTCGCAGGGCACGCGCCCCACAGAAGTCAGCCCTAAATCCGCCGGTCAGCTACCCGTCCCAAATCATTGTACTTCATTACTTTATTACCAAAATAAATATAGGGATAGATGGGCATTCACTCTCCATTACTCATGCACGCCTTCAACTCCTTCCCGCTTATCCCCACGTCTATCTCATCTCATTCATGAATGTGTCTACATTTTTTTATTCACATATTATTGCAGGAACCATATATAAGTATATAACATACGTAGTAATAAAGAAAGAATCACCATAATAGAGTAAACACTGAAGATATGCGGCATATTCTGCTTTATGTTCTATTGGAGTAAATATATATATACTAGTAATAAAGAAAGAATCACCATAATAGAGTAAACACTGAAGTATGCAGTTATTTGATAAATTGTCTAGTAGTAAAGTTGTAGGTTTATTTTCATAATACTCCGTACTACGCAAAAAAGATCTACACCATCACCCAACGATGCTCAAAGCCCCTAGGTGCTGTCCCCGTCCTTCGTGTGAGTCCACCACCTTCGTCACCGTCGGCACACCCACTTCCACCAATGCCATATGGCAAGCGAGCAATGACGGAGTCATAAATCTATAGTTAGGGGGGCGGGTTTTGAAAATTTTACATTGCCTCAAAGTTTTGTTGGAAAATGTGTTAAAAATTGCATTAAATAGTCCATTTGGAGAAATATTTTGAGTGGGGTCCACTTCTGATTTGGGCCGGATCAAAGTGGTTTCGGATTCCTCTTGTTAAAAGCTACAATTCGATATGTGGTACACTAAAAACGGATTACGAGTGAATGAGAAATTGATTCTGGAAGTTCACTCGTTGTAATGAAATAACTAGGAAAAAGATGAGTTTCTAGTGTGATGTTTTTTCACACCAGAAAACCCAAGGAATTTTCATCCGGTTGTAAAGGGAACCCTCTTTAAAGCAGATAAAATTCCTAGGTAGAAAGACTCTCGTAGCGCGCAGGGGGGTGCCGACTAAATCCCGATAAAGAAGAAGAAAAAACCGCGACTTGCGTGCGTGGGTGACCTGCGGACACGAATGTCGTCAGAAAATCTATCTTTCATAGATACAATTTAATTTTTGTTTCTTCCCGTAACGTTACTTTTTCCCACATCAGAACTGATCGGACCAGAACCCTTGTGCTCCACATTAGAAGGCTTCGGACCATAACTCTTCTGATTCACTTATGAAACGTTACATCAGTTATTGCCCAACGCTCTTCTCCTTTAATGCACCTTAAATGAATAGTTTTTGGATGAATTCATGGCAATGTTTAGGTCATTGATGCCCAACGTTCAGGTCTATTAAAACACACTTAACACACAATAAATATGTCCCTATTTATACCTGACATGTGATTTGCAACAACACACAAACTTACACGAATTATTAACGTTCCTCACGTAGCTTTGAGATAAAAAACACTTTCAGTTTCCAGAAAAATTCCTTTGTGTTCTTGCTTGGTTTCCGTTCGCCAGAACAATTGGTTGTGTGCTTAAACAAATGTTCGTGGCCATCGTATCATGGGAAATAATGATTGTTGCGATGCGTCCTAGCACTGTGGGAGGCAACAAATACGTATTAAGGACATTGTGCGTTGCACAAGCTTTGATGTTTCTGTTCCATCCTATTTTTGTTTTTCTTTGGCTAATTTTTATTAATTAATTTCTTTGTTTTCCCGAATTCACCCAACAAGTTTAAAATATCAACATATTTTCTATAGATTAAAAGCATTGATATGTAATATGATGGAGTATATGGCCCAGGGGCCCCCGACCCATAGACTCCTACCTCTCCTACACGGGCCCATTGGGCCTAAGGAGCATTTGAGGTCCAAATGCAGCGGCCCAAGTCTCAAAGAAGCCCAAAATACACATTGGGGTGCCTTCGGCCTCCTTGGCCGAAGGCTCCAAAATACACAGGGCAGCCAGATTTGAGCATACAAAGCTACTGGGAGAAAATGGCGTAAAACAGTAGCCCTCGGCTAACAGGAGCCCTCGGCTATACCATGTAGCCTTCGGCTGTACGGCGCCCTTGGCTACAAAGGCCCCTCGGCCGCAGGAGGGAGCCCTCGGCCACCATCTCAATCATCGAAGATTCCCTTGGGGACAAGCAACCACCGCATTTAATGCAGCGTCACATCTACCCACCGCATTCAATGCGGTGCACATGCGAATGCCAGTGCCAACCGATTGAGGTGACCCCTTGGCCGTTAGATTATCGCCACTTGTACTCTCATCGCATTTATTACTACTATAAATAGCACCCCCTTTTCCCATGGTAAAGGACCAGAACATCTCGAGTTCATTAATACAATCGCCTCTCTCTCTCCTACTTGTTTGCTCTGATTTCTCTCTAGGTTATTCTCATAATAACCCATCAGATAAGCTACCCCCGGGTACACTGTCCATCATTTGGTGCTCTCGTTGAGAGGTCCGAACAATCAAGTAAGAAACCCTCCCCTTCACCAAACACAAAAACACCCGCATGTGCACCACATTGAATGCCTCCAATGTGAAGTCATGTCTTTCCTCGATGCCTTCCGTGGGTATCACCAGATCTATATGCATGAGGAAGACGCGGAAAGAACAGCCTTCATGACACCCGAGGGCATCTTTTGCTATCTTGTGATGGCCTTCGGCCTAAAGAACTCTGGCGCTACTTACACCCGCATGGTGGCCAGGGTCTTCCAAGCCGTTCTAGGGCGCACCATGGAGGCCTATGTTGACGACATGATCGTCAAAAGCAAGAAGGCAAACACCCACGCCGAGGACCTCTGGGAGATATTCGCCATCATGCAAAAATTCAATCTTCGGCTGAATCCAAAGAAATGCACTTTCGACGTGCAAGGAGGAAAATTCTTGGGCTACATGGTTAGCCGAAGGGGCATTGAGGCCAACCCGGAGAAAATCCAGGCCATCATCAACATGGAGCCTCCACGCAACGTCAAAAAAGTTCAACGGTTGACGGGTCGCCTGGCGGCCCTCAACCGCTTCCTCTCCAAATCAGCAGAAAAGGCCCTCCCCTTCTTCCAAATCATGAGGAAGACAGCAGGCTTCCAATGGACAACTGAGTGTCAAGAGGCCTTCGACGAGCTGAAGAAGTACCTCTCTTCTCCCCCTGTACTCTCCAAACCCAAGGTGGGGGAGACCTTATACCTTTATCTTGGCGTTAGCCCCGCCGCCATCAGCTCAGTACTCATCCGGGAGGAAGATGGCATCCAACATGCCATCTTCTATGTTACCAAGACCATCTTCTATTCGGGCCCATCAAGCCCAATGAGCACACAAAGCCCAAACACAGCGGCCCAAGTCTTAAGAGGCCCATGGTGCACATATGGGTGCCTTCGGCCTCTATGGTCGAGGGCTCCAAATTCCACAAAACAGCTTCATTTGAGCATACAGAGCTATTGGGAGAAAACGGCAGAAATCGGCTCATGGACGCCCTCGGCATAAGGGTAGCCTTCGGCTACACAGAGCCCTCGGCCACAGGGGAGCCTTCGGCTACAACGCAATCATCGAAGATTCCCTTTGGGGACAGACAACCACCGCAGTTAATGCGGCGTCACATCCACCCACCGCATTTAATGCGATGCACAAGCGGATGCCGGTGCCACCCCGATTGAGGTGACCCCTCGGCCGTTAGATTGTTGACACGTGTACTCTCATCACATTTATGGCTACTATAAATAGCAGCCTTTATTCCTCTTGTAAAGGACCCCAAGATCTCGAGTTCATTTAATACAAGTGACCCTCTCTCTCTTACTTGTTTGCTCTGACTTCTGTCTAGGTTATTCCTCGAATAACCCCTCGGATAAGCTACCCCCGGGTACACTATTCATCAGTCCCCTCGTAGCGTTGTGACTTCCGATTGTCGAAAAAATGGTCTTGTATAAAAATAATACTTTTCTCTAAAAATGTTATAAAGATGACATCAAGATGATATTTTTTATGCAAATTGGCATTTTTCTAGTGGTTGGAGCTGGTAGGCGCTTGCATAAATTTCTTATTTTATCTATTTCTATTTTTTTATTGTTTCATACATTTTATTATAAATAAAAATAGTTATTTCTTTTTATGTTTTTATTATTAATAAAAGAATGATTTACTTATTAAAATACGAACAAGGTAGGATAGGAAGTGTTACTCTTATTTAGAGGATTAAATACTTATGATCCTATTCTTAGCTTGTAATTTAGCTTCTATTTACTCTTATTTAGGGAATTACCCTATTTTTATATACAACATAATCAATTTCAAATATATACCAAGCGGGTTGTAAATATTACCATTATAATTGTACAATATAGGTAACTAATTAATTAATCAATTGATAACGCACACATGTTTATTGTGTGAGTGGCATGTGTTTATTTATGTTATTGATGGGCATGAGAAGGGATGGAGTGCGAAAGAATCTAATCTTTATCCACCTACTCATTTCTTCCTCCTCAGGATGGTGTGGGCGATCACGTATCATTGTTATCTACAATAACAAATATATTATCCCAATCAACACTCCTCACGAAAAGGTCATGTTTAAAATCTCTTAGCTTTTTTTAAGAATTAAATCATTTAACTTTAAACATCCGTTCACAACATAAAGACCTACATACAAATCACAAAGCATGTTTTATTTAAAAATAAAAATATAAACCCAAACAACTTGTACTATTTCTTCAAAAGTAACTTGTTAGCGATATACCCAAAGTTCAATAGTAATTCTTTCAAGCAATAACTTTAAAAGTATGGCCTAAACAAAATAAAGATCAACTAGAATTCCAACACAATAGTTGTGAAACTAATTAATTCATAAGACCTCTTAAAACCAGTATATGCATATATTTTAAACAAAGCAAGAATCAGTCATGAATTCAATGTTAACTCCGAGATACTCTATTTAGCATGCTATTCTTGATTCCCTCCTTATTCTTAGCGTTACAACTCCTTGAAGCAATCACTTAACTCACATCATTTGTATGACTTATAACACGTCTCTATTGCTTGCAATCACCAATGGTTTCTTTCTGAGCGTCTTTTAGTACCAACACATATTTTATCATCATTCATATAAACAAAATTTCAAAGTGCATCTAATTAAATAAAAACCCAATTTATTTATTTTTGTTTGGGCAAATAGGGTTAAAGTTGAGACACCTCCTTGAATTCTATCTCATCTCATCACATTTAGTACATATGATATGTATTGTGAATTCTCCATTTTTAGTTTTTAACATCCCCATCCATCCCTCTTTTTTCAGCTTTATCACATTTTTGTGTAGAGTAAGCATATCCTTACACATTACATTGTGCCTTATAGATTGCCAAATTAAATATAAATGTTTTAGGAATAATTAAGCATTTGCATTTCTACTAGTGTTTTAATTAAAAATTGTGATTGCTAAAGGGCTTCAGCATCACCAAATTAAAAAGGATAAAACTGTCAACATTCTTCTGATTTTGCTGATGCGGTGTATGAAGCTGAGACAATCCATTACATTTCATGTACCTTTAGTTATTATTCTATCACACAAAAAACGAGAAAAAGAAAAGGAATAGTACCAAAAACAATAATAAAATTGATGAAAAGCTATCACACACACAAAAAAAGGAATAGTACCAAAAACACCAATAAAATTGATGAAAAGTGAGGTACTAAAAAGATACATGAGACTGATCGTCTACATAAATAGAAGAGGGAAATTTGGGGGAAAGAAGAGAGCAATCATATTCTTGAAAACTAGGAGAGTACATATATTGGAGGCAATTTATAAAGCAACTTACCTATCACAATGCAAATATGCAGGAGAAGAATGTAGAAAGCCCAAATTAGTCAACAAATGTTTCAATAAAAATAACTCACATGTAGCAGAAGAAGAGCGTGAGACTATTGCTTGTTTCTTATATTTCCAAAAAATCGGATAATTACCGAGGAATACAAAATAAGTAGTAAGAAAATGCCTACTAAAATGACGGTAAATTATACCGTACAACCGGTTGTATGGTGAGTACCGTACAGCCGGCATTTTTGTAATTAAATTTGTCGTGCTCTGCAACTCATTGATGAAGGGAAAGGCAGATGGAATATGAAGTAGACGACCAAGAATCGGGCTCTGCAACTCATCTCGCTGTTTGAGTTCCAGCATGGTGGAAGAAGGAGGGCGGTTGATCCGTATGGTTCCTTTGGTGACGGATGATCTGAGTCTCAATTTCACGGTGCCGTCCTCACTCCTCACTTGCCGAAGGAATTTATGAAGTCACCTGGGCTTTGCAAAAAAGTGAATTTGGTGGCAAGAAAGCTACTCGTCAGGGCCGGTTCTGGGGGAGGGCAAGAGGGGCGACCGCCCTAGGACCGGGAAAAAATAGAAGAAAAAATAGGCACAATTTTTTTTCTTTTATGTATAGTGTTAGTAGGCTTCTTTTTTTAATTCTTAAGATCAGTTAATTAGGCCTAATGTTTAATTTTGTTGACAATTTGAAAATTTAAAATGTAAATAAAAAGTTTTAAACAGAGCCATGTTTAAAAAAAGAATATATACATTAATATTAAGTAGGATCCGTTGTAGTTTTTAAAAGCAATACAATTGTTGCTGCATCAAAAAAAGAATATATACATTAGTTTTAAGTAGGATCGGTCGTAGTCTTTACATCTCTTTAGCCTTTAAGGCTTTTTATTCATATAATTATAACATAACAAATTTATATAATTATTTTAGAGTCCATCTCTCTCAAACCTCATCCCAATTATTTATTTGTTTCCAAATTTCAATAAACTATATCTGAGTTCCTAATAGTAGTTTAGAGGACGTCAAATTGGCAGTCTTCTTGCGCGAGTGTTCTTGGCGGCCATACATTTTGTCTCTTTGAAAACCTTCATTCTTTCGAGACTTCAAACTTTAGACTCCCATCAATGATCAATAAATCATTCTCAACTTATGAATTCAATATGTAGTGACATTTTTTTCATATTTCCTTTCAAAAAAAAGTTTAGTGTTGTTATATGTGGCAATTTTATTGTTTGTCATGTATTAATAGAAAGAAGGTCGCCTATGAAGCGATTATTCATTATTTGCTTCATATTGTTCTACGAGAAATGTTTTTTTACTGATGTTTCTTCTTTTTATCCGATACTTGTGTTGTTACTTTTGCCCAAATATGTAACTTAAATAATAATAATGATAAAGTGATTTTTGACTTTATTTTATGAACTTCATTGGATATTTTTATTATAATTCTTATTTCAAATAAGTATACCGTCATAGGTCCAGAATAGCGTACCGCCCATAGGCCCAGAAATGGTCAGAACCGGCCCTGCTACTCGTTTTTGGACAAGGGAACAATGGACAGGGGAATTACTCTAGAGAGGGAAAGCTACTCGTTTTTGGACAAGAAAATATACTTTGAACCAATTTGAAATGAGTATAATGCCTCAAACACATTCGAAATGAGTTTATATTAAACTCAAATTAGTACAATGCCTAAAAACAATGAACATACAAATAAATATAAAGCATATTAGAAATGAGCTTTATATTAAATGAAATGCATATAGTGCCTAAAATGAATGAACATACACAAATGAGCTTTTGAATTTTTCGATACTCATTTTCTAAGTTATGTATGTTCATTTGGTAATATTTTTATGCTCATTTCAATCTATTAAATAAATCCATATTTTAAAAGTATCATACTTTTAATTGGAATTGATTATAAACATAATTTAAAAAATTTATAAAAGAAAATAATAATAAAAAATAAAATGCATCAGGAGATATGAAGCAAATATTACCATGCTCATTGTTAGACTCTTAATACTCAAAAGAATATGTTGGATGCTCAATTGCGATACTCAATTGCATGCTTTTAATACTCAATAAAGGGGGTTTGATACTCAATGAAAATGTCTTGATACTCAACTAAAAAATTATGATTTTCATATTAATGCTCTTTTTGTAAGTTACACATGCTCAAACAGTACTCATATTACCATACAAATACATATTCCAAAAGTACCATATTACATTAGATTCACATCGAAGTTCATAGGAGTTGATTATAGATACAATTTAATTTAATTAGTTTTTATAAAAGAAAAACTAAGAAAAAGAAAGTGATATCACAATATTCATTATTCGACTCTTAATACTCAGTAGAATACGTCTGCTGCTCATTAAAAGTGTATTAATGCTCATCTAACGAAAATCGCGATTTTCATTGAAATTACAAAAATTCCACCGTTTTTTAGTTGTGATATTAGCTTTCGTGTAATAACACATTGCTCATTATTAGACTTTTTAGTACTCATTAAAATTGGACTACTGCTCATTAACAGTACACTAATGCTCATCTAGCAGAAATCACGATCTTCACTAAATTTACAAAACTGCCACCGGCTGTACGGCTTGCACCGTACAGCCGGGTGTACGGTATACGCTCCTAAAATGACTAACTGCCTAGTTATAAACATTTCAGATTCCTCTTCTTGAGTTCTTTTGTAATTTCGGCACATAATGCCATTTTTCTGTGTTATGTTAGGCTCTCCTATGTTACAACTTTTTATTTTCTCTTTTACAATAAGATAATAATTTTACATTGGTCAATCATTTTTTTTAGTTGTTCAAACTAATTTTATGATTTGAATTCCAAATTGGCATAAATTGCCATGGTTTTCCGTATAAAGTGTTATGTTGACACTTAGTGTCATTTTTATGGTATTAATTTCTTCTAGATGGCAAAAAAATACTAATAATGCCACATTTTATATATATATAAAAATGTTATTTTTGCACATAGTGCCATTTATATGGCACTAACTATGAAGTGATGATAATATCATTTCTCCTACAAATCCAACATTTATAATGTCACTGGAATGTCAAAATGACACTCAAACTCATATCTTTTTTTATATAAATCTTATTAAAATGATTTTCAAATAGTGAAATCATATTTTAAATCACTTTTTTCAGATCTGAGATCTGTAATGGTGGAGCCAAACATGGTGGTGCTAGAAGAGATGTGACTGACCAATGGCGGCCAACGAATAGCAGCGGAGGCACCTGGCAGCTGCGGTGCCGGCGGTAGCAATGGAGATATTGCGGCGGCATATAGTGGCGGAGTCCGGTGGCGCGGTGGCGTTCGGCGGCGGCAAGGGGTGATTGGCGGCGGTGTCCTGCATGCCCCCTGGGTGGTGCCGGCGGCAACTTCTGCATGCTGGAGTAGGCATGAGGGAAAATAGGCTACTATGAAATGCATTTGGTTTATTATTCTACTTTATACTTCATATTTTTGCTAAATAAATATATTGGAGCTTTCATTAAGGACATTCTTGTCCCTTACTATTAATTTCCGTGCAACGAACTTCAAATGAGATAGGAGTCCTACTTTGGAATATTTAATATGTTTTACTCCTAAACTGGGAATTCTCTCTGAGAAAAACTAGCCGGCTAAATAGTCTCCTATATTTGGCAGGATCCTCCATAAGATCTAGCACAAGCGACAAGAACTAAAGAATGATTTCCTTACAAATCAATTGGAAATAGATAGAAAATGAAAACACACACTCTTGCATTTTGTTGAGGAGTTTTGACCATAGGTGTTAGATGAATAATCTTATGTTCACAAAAGTACTCTCCGATATTCTCCCATAAATCATGAACAACATCTCGCCATATGTGAGATATTCGGAAAGAATGATAAGTAGTGTTGAACATCCAAGGAACAGTAATTGAATAGATGTCCACCAATCTGAAATAAAGGCAAGTTTTACGTTTGGCACATAATGAAACACAAAATACTCTAGCTCGTTCCTCCTAGTTATAACCCTTTTGAACATAAGTAATTATTTCCCTAGGATTGTCACTAGAACTAAAAGCAGAGACAAGATTTGGGTGAAGGTGTTATTGTCCCACCAGCCATACTGAATGAAAAGAAAATTGAATATGATTGTTAGGCTAACCGCAACCCGGTTCCATCAATAAATCAAATTTGTCATCAATTTATACGTATTCATTCAGTCAATTCAGTTTTCACTGCAACCCAGTTCCGTCAATAAATTTACGCAACAATGTTTTTTTTTTAATAAAGCCTTAATTTAATTGTTACACATCAATATTTTTTCCAATTTTTTGTTATATGTAATTATGATTTGAAAAATCAAACATTCCAATGTAAAAATAAATAAATTTAGAGTTTGATTTTATAGCGGTTACTTTAGACCTATTTTAAAAAGAATTAGGTTCACAAATCTTGAAGAACTGAAACTTCATTTTTTTTTTCAACTTTATATATCCAAGATTGTTGTCATATGAAAGATCATGAAAAGTTATGAATTATCATATACTAGTATTTTTTATAAAATTGAAATTCAAATAAAAAAGTTATAATAGTTTAAATATAATTGGGGTTATAATTTAAATGGGACCATTGCTTATTTCTTTATGCCCAACAACCACGATTGCTTTGTCTTCTCAGTGAATAAGGCCTGAGGTATTCACTTGAACGGAGCTACCAAGCCACTTTGGCACGCACGTATACCATGGGTTGCATCAATTTTTGGGGTGAAAACCTTAAAAATAACATTTTCACCTCAGGGTTTGCAATCAGCCTTAGAGGGCAAAATAACCACACTAATACCACAAAGGAATACACCCGAGGGAAATTCAACTTGCTTTATTATTCATAGTAAGGACACGCACGCGGCATGCACACTCACATGCATGCATGCATACATCTAGTATTTTATGGAGAAAAAATTCCTTTAGAGATCAATTCACAAACCTATAGCCGGCCCCATTCGGATACTTGGAAGATTAAAAAACCTAAGGCGTTTAGAAAATCTTATTGATTTCGAAAACCGCAAGCCTCTTTGGAAACTTGGGGAATTCAGAAATTACTCTAACATTTTGAAACCGAACTTTCCGAAGTGCTCCGTTCGGGAACCTTAAAACCAATTTCGGAAACCTTCAAGCCTTATTAATTAGTAAAACTCTGAGTTTTGAAACATAGTTGGTTCATAAATTAGAAAAGGTTCAACAAATTACTTTTCATGTTTATCAACTTTCACTAATGATTTTTTTAATATGAAATTATTTTGAATATGAAAATTGTATCAAAATGTTGCGTATTCAATTAAAATATTTTCATGAAAAAATAAAATTTTAAAAATATTTACAAATATAATAATCAAAATCAATGTTCAAATTTTGTCATCATTGATCAAAATAAGTTAATATGAGAAACTTTTTGTTCTT